GGTACCAGCACCAAAGCCCCAGGCCGTTTTCCTCATAGGCATCCCCCTCGACAGCGGTCATCTCGTCAGGAATGTGGAAGGAAATCCCCAGTCTGCCCCTCTGCGCTGCCTCGGCTGGGTGCTCCTGCTGCCCAGCTCACGCTGTCCCCTCCAACGCACCCTCCGGTGCGGAGCATCCCCCCGGAGCGCTCAGCTGCCGCCGGCACCTCCCGGCTCTGAGCACCGCGCAGCCGGACCCTGCCCTGCTCCCCCTTCCCAGAGAATTAAACACTCCCTCTCCCCTGCGGGAGATGTTCCCAGCCGGTGTCAACCCGGAGCAGCAGCACGCTAATTCGGAGCAGAGAGCAGCTCTTCAAGCGCTTCCCTCCACCGGGTCCCCGCGGGGAAGCAGCGGGGCCAATTAATTGATTGCTGGTTTGCCTCTTAACGCAGAGCAGAGCTGGAAGCAGCGGGGCTGCCGCAGAGCACGCCCCGTCCCCCTCCTCGCTAATTAGCCCCCGCGCGTGGCTGCGGTGAAGCTGGGGAGGGAAGCGCGCGGTTTCTCTTCTTGGCCCCTGCAAGGCTGTTGTTATTTTCCCCTTTTGTTTCGGAGACCTGCTAGAAGCTGGTGTGGGGTCTGGAGGTGGGTTTGCAGCCTGTGGCCGCTGTGGGTTCGGCCGGGTTTTTATTAAGATGGGGCTGTCGGTGTGCTGCCCCGGTGCCTGCTGCTTGCTTCTCCTCCAGCCTGGGCAGAGAATTGTCCTGCAGGCTGGGCGGACAGGGAGGTCCGTGGCTGCCAGGCGTGTGGAGGGGACAGCGTTTGGGAGCGTGCCGGGATGCTGGCCGAGGCAGGCCAGCACCCGTGGTGCAACTTGGTGCTCTGCAAAACCAGAGCTTGGAAACAGTGCAACAGCAGGTTCGGTCGCTTGCGGGGAGCCCGTTTGCAGCCTCGTGCAGGGGAGGCGATCTAAAAATACGAGCTTGTTTGTCTCCAGCTGGAGTTGGTTTGGGTATCCCTGGTTGTTGCTGGGGTGCAGTGGAGGACAGCTGAGAGGTGGAAATTTGCAGACTGTAATTTTGCTGCTTTTCCTTCCCTGCCTTGCTCCTAAAAGGCGATGGCTGGGAGAAAGACAGAGCAGGAGGATGGTACGTTAGAGCTCCTGACCCGCTTTGCTCAGAGTTTCCAGGACGTGATTCACCTTTTCCCCTTCACCAAAAGGAGACAGGACTGTGTAGCTGCTAGAGGGGATATTTAGAGGTTTATCTTTGCTGTGCAGCACAGTCTTTATGCATGGGAAGCCAGCATGGCCCCCTGCTTCTGTCTTGGGCAGCGCTTGCTAAAAGAAACATGAAATCATGTGATTTCTCCTGGTTTTGTCCTCAGCCTTGCTGCCCAAGTCCTCTTCCCTGGCTGGGCTGGAAGGTGATGGAGAGGAGCTTGCTGTTGCCCCTTCTCCCTTGCCCTCCAAACAGCTCTCCCGTCCACAGCGTCTCCGGGCGCCGGCGGCTCGGCTCGGGTGCACAGTATGGTGAGGTGCTTCAGCATCGTGCGCCTGCATGACCTGGCTGGGCTGTGGCAGCAGCGTCGGGGTGCAGAGAGTGCCGGGGCGTTGCAGAGGCGATGTGCCTGACTCCCCCGGGCGCCTGTTTCTGGTGGAGAGAAGCTGCCTGCGGAGCCGCTGTCTCACGCCTCTGCTCTCCTCTCTCCCAGGTACCAGACCACCTTCCCTGGTTTTTGATGCTGAATCAGGATCGTTTTAACTAAAGATGGAAACACTGGAGTCAGAATTGACCTGCCCAATCTGCCTGGAGTTATTCGAAGACCCTCTTTTGCTGCCGTGTGCCCACAGCCTCTGCTTCAGCTGCGCCCACCGCATCCTGGTGTCCAGCTGCTCCTCCAGCGAGTCCATTGAGCCCATCACCGCCTTCCAGTGCCCCACGTGCCGCTATGTCATCTCCCTCAACCACCGGGGCCTGGAGGGCCTCAAGAGGAATGTGACCCTGCAAAACATCATCGACCGCTTCCAGAAGGCATCCCTGAGCGGCCCCAACTCCCCCAGCGAGAGCCGCCGCGAGAGGACGTACCGGCGCCGAAAGGACTGCCCGCACCGGCCCTACCATGTCCGTGGCCGGCGAGAGGATCGCCTGCCAGTTCTGCGAGCAGGATCCCCCGCGGGACGCGGTGAAGACGTGCATCACCTGCGAGGTGTCCTACTGCGACCGCTGCCTGCGGGCCACCCACCCCAACAAAAAGCCCTTCACCAGCCACCGTCTGGTGGAGCCCGTGCCCGACGCGCACTTCCGAGGACTGACGTGCTTGGAGCACGAGAACGAGAAGGTGAACATGTACTGTGTTGCTGACGACCAGCTCATCTGTGCCTTATGTAAACTGGTGGGCCGCCACCGGGACCACCAAGTGGCATCCCTCAGTGATCGCTTTGAAAAGCTGAAGGTAAGCACCCGGCACGGCCGCAGCGGGCCCGCGGGCAAGGTCGTCTGTGGGGGCTGGTGTTTGCTGAGGGACGGTTGTCAGAGCAGAAGCTGGTTCCAGGTGCCCCAAGTGGCACCCCTTATTTAAGCCAAGCAGCTCCTGAAAGACGTGGGCTGCAGGATGCAGCTTGTGGGCTCCTCCAGGACCCCAGGAGCCTGAGCTGGGTCTCGCTGGCACAATTAGAGCAAGGTCTTTGCTATTCTATTTTTTTCCTGCTGGTGTGTGCGTGCCAGGCCCAGGCATTGGACCTTCTCCCCAAACGGCCAGACAGCGTGTC